TACCCTGTGCGAGTATCCAGAATAAAACCTTAGGCCCGAATAATGAATTCAATGTTAAAATGCTAATTTCGACATTTTCTCTGTATTAGAAACTTGGACATCAGTCATTCTGTTTGTACAAAATGCATGCGTGGCTCAGCAGAAAAGCGAAGAAGGCATTTTATGCTCAAGCCACAGCTTGCGCCTGCACCGGGCGATGAAACTGCCTCTTGAAGCTTATCGCTTACTCAACTAAGTCGGACAGCAATAACCCTCATGGTGCGGAGACAACAAAGAAAACAGCTTACAGATGCATAAAAGAGCAATCGGTCTCAAAATGTACAGCATTTACTACAAATGTTACCAAAGGCTGGTTTTCACTAGCGCATAATCATAAGCATAAGCCGACGTATGTTGACTCACAGTAAGATACTGTTAAAGTGCCCTTTGTTTGGAAATTTTCCCAATAAAAGGTGCTAATTATCAACAGATCACTGCGTCTGCATATGTCGGCTTATGCTAATACTTATGCGCTAGTGAAACTGAGCCAGCCTTTAGGAATAACATTTGCTGTCAAAATTTAAGACCGCTATGATGAATCATCAAATACGAAGACAATACAAAAATTCTAAATACCTAAGACCACTCCTGCGAGCAACAATGTATACAGAGTTCCCACGAAGGCCATTGTTCAGTCACTCAACCTAAGAAGATTAAAATAAACAATTTTATAAGCCTCCAATTATTGATTGAAAGTGTTAATATTTACAATGCAATACACTGTAGGTCTAATAATTAGTTTACCTAGCAGATCACAAGTTGTGTGAGTTTTTCAAATTTCACTTTTTTTTCTGAGCTGTAGCATTCAGGACAAGATTAGCTAATCAACTTTCTGTTCGAAAATTTTTTCTAGTTTCCAATTTTCAGTTATAAAGCGTTATCTCATTGGGTAAAGCTGACGTAAGTGTGTAACACAGGTTTTTATCGCTTAATGGTGCAACGTCTAACACAATCTAATCTTATTGCACGGTTTCGCAAAAAAATTGTATCATAAAAAGTATCAGGTTTTGGAAGTCCTTTCCGCTTTACTAGGCGTAAACGGGCCATTTATGACTATTGTTATTTCCTTCCATGCAGGCAGATTTTGAATCAAACTTAGTGTTTTCCACCTGTTTTAGTACTTGTCAAGCGTTCTTACACTCTCAAAGCAGTGTGGCCCATTGTCTAAAGGTCACATTTTCATTTTTGTTAAGGTTTGTTTTTTCTCGTCTAGCAAAAAATGGCTCTTTTCGGTTAACGTAGACCGCGTGTATATAGAGCTATAAGCCTCAACCCTATGCCACAAGACCGAATGGTAGTCTGGGTACTCTTTCGAATTTTGCATATTGGTGTAGAGGAAATCTACAAATTTGTTTTGCACCTGAAGTAATAGCAACGATACATTAGATCTTCCATGCACATTAACACCATTTTTTCGTTAGCTTCTCTTTCACTGTTACATGACTTTTAGTTGAAAATTCTTCTAACATTCAATGTGGCGAAAAGAAACTTGTTTCCACCATTCTGAAGAATGTTCTCTCTATTTCTACCCAAACTAACTTTCGGTCTCCTCGCGTAAGCTTGAGGAGTTGATCCGACATTGAAATAGCTGTTAATGGAGTGATTTTATGGCCACGATGTATGTTTATGTACTTTTGATAAATATTCTATATAAGCTGGTTTAATTAAAAATGAAATGATAGCTGCAACATCAAGTGCTATCTTTATGACTTTTTTTTGACAATCTTTGACGTTAAGAACCAAAATTTTCAACATTATTTATGAATCTGAGGAACCCTCTCTAAACTGTGGAAAAAGCAGCTTTCTCTAATTAGCTGAAGCATCTTGAAAATGATTGGATCATTGGACATCGAGAATATTTAAATAAAACGGATTGCAAAATGAACAAAGCTGAAGAACAGCGCTACTTGAGCGGGTTTCGGGATTTGGGTCATTAATTCATCAATTGTAAATTTTCACCGTAATCACCGTTGGAAAATGTATTTTGAGCTACGAAGTTTGTCAATTTATTTATTTATTTTTTATCCATCAAGTCAAGAAATAAATTTAACAGCATCGTAATTTATTCTTCAAATTTTGTTTTATATTTGCTCTGTTCACTTTATCCAACGTAGCAATGTCATCAGATTGAATATTTTGTGACACCTTATGTGATATCGATCTTTCCAGCTGCATCAATTTAAGGAATAGTTATACGTCGGTATAGCAATCTCCTCCAATAGAGTAATCGCCTTGCCTTTTCCATTGATTATTATATCTCTACTTCATGTCATGAGCTATCAAAATATTTTTGTTCATGGCTTTGTTTATCGCTACCAGAAATTTCAATAGCTAAACTGTTTATAAACCAGTTGATTTCACACCTAAAATCTTCAAAAATTACTTTATGATAAAAAAAATGATAAATTCAGCTGACTTACATGAAACGAGAAAAATTGTTTCCTCGTCCAAATGTCTTCCTGATGGACGCGTCTCTTTCTAGATTCTCTCGAACAAACTCGTTTGTTTATCAAAGCACCTCAGGCACAATAAAATGGCAGGTTGAAAGCGGTCAATATTTTATCGAAGTTACTCGAGTAGAAAAATTTCAACAAGATGTGAATGAAAACTCTTCTCTACAATTTTATCAGTAGCCTTTTATCTCAAGCACAAAAAATGTACATTCTTTATATATTTTTACAGGTAGCATTCCTTTCGATTTGGCGAAAATTGACTTTACTTTTAATTCCTTCCCTTAAAACTTGTTTATGCGACATTTGGATCCTCGTGGCAAATTTCATGTTCTTTGAAATCGCCTGGAACTGACTAAAGCCACCTGTTTGTCTTACAGGTAAGCCAGTGTTGCTCGGTTAGTGGTGATTGAATAACGAGAATGTTTTGGAGTATCTCAAACTAAGCAATATAGGGAAACGGGTACGAATTAAAACGTGCATGAGAGGGACTGGGAGGAAGAAAACAGGACCCACTGTAAACTCTGTAAAACGTCCATATTAACTGGTTGAGTCTTGCAAGTTAATTGGTGTACATTAAGTCTACTTTCTGAACTACCGTTACAAGTTACTTTGTAGAGATCGAGGTTTGAATTAAATCTCTATTTTCTTATTTATCCAAATGAGGAAGTGAATTCAGAAGTTACTTCTGAGGTATTAGAGCTTTCCCGTATGCTAGATATACGAGCATGCACCGCTAAACGAGTAGACTAATTTTTTTTGTTTTTTGTTTTGTTTGTTTGTTTGTTTTTTTTTATCTTCTAAATCTGAGGTGGTGTTTCAGTTTGGCACAAGTAAACAAATCAAATATATGCAGGAGTCTATTATTGACTCCTAATTTGAAATAAGATCTCGTTTTCTCTCTCTGATTTCAAATTTCAATTTGGGGGATTTTTCACAGTATATTTATTATCATCTCTCGAAATTCACTGGCCATCTATGCAGATGGGCAAAATTTAATTAGTCTGAAATGGGGCAAGAAAAATATTCCTAACGCACTCACAAGGCCAAACGGAATCCCTAGAAAATTGTGTACAGCAATACTCTAGCACTTCTTTATGTAAGTGATTGGCATATGTCCCTTCAGTTACTACCTTTATTGGAAAATTATATCCGTTTTTTCCTTACACTGGATTGAACTTTGCTGTTTGGCACGCTGTCAGGTTTCAGATCTCTACAGTGAAGAGAATGAGAACTAGTTGTGGCTCTGAACAACGATTGGGTCCACGATTTACCAAAGTTGTCAAGATAACTAGAATGGTATACATTGGGCCAAAGTGACTCATATTACCAGAGCCTGTCCCGGGTTCTGTAGGTGAATATAAAAGTATTCCTACTTGTCTATGGATGAGAGTTGATGAATGTCTTGCCCAAAAACACGATACAGTGACTCCGGGCGGATCTCAAACCCAGTCGATCTTGAGTCACACAGGCTAGCCATTAGACCACCGAGTCTCCCCAGGCCCAAAAACGCTAATGGAAATATATTATTGTACTAATAGTGGCGTGACGATTTTTGAGGTCTATCTGCAGAAAATCTTCAAGAGCTGTTACATTAATTAACTTGACGATAAGCAATATTCAAAATGGAGGGTGGGTGCCAATTGACAGCAAAGCAGGCAATGAGCAAGTGTGGGCAAAATGCAAATAAAGGGGGTATCCATGGCAACCTCCCACGGGTCACCTTCCCCTGGCACATGGCACACTGAATTCGCAATGGAGAATAAGTATACTTACCTAGACACAAGGGCCCACCATGAACCAAGAGGCGGGTGGGATGGGGCAAACCAAAGGCAAAGCGACAAGGCAAGGCAGAGCCAAACCACGAGGGCGAAACTGCTCACAGCAATGGCACAACTGCGCATTCCCGCGCGATCACCCGCTGGCCAACAGCAGATCTCCCAGTTAACTCTGATTATTGATAATCTCATAAAGAAACCGAGCTTGCAACTGTTCGACAATCGCCCTCTAGAGATATTCATAAATGCATCAATTCCTCGGTTACGTTCTTCCGAAGACTGAAGAAGATGTTAAAAGTTGTAATCTTGAGGCCTTGAGAAGATGTCCTGAATACCATGGAACGTGCTTTCGGTGTTTTCATGCGTCGAATTTTGTCCTGTATGTCTGCAAGTCAATCCTTAAGTCCTTTTGCATTATAAGAATTAAAAAGTTCAAATAGCAAAAGTGTATTGAGGAGCTGTCTACTTGGGGGAAAATGTTTCCTGCAACACGCACACCCGACTGTAAAAAAAAAAACCTTCAGTTTAGCCAAAGTGTATTGTATCTAGGATAATATCCTTGCGTTTCATAGATAAGAATAGGGATAAGGATAACGATGCGGTCTCTCTAAGGGGGCGATTTACACGCTTCAATTTTTGCGTACAACAATCGTGCACGACATGCTTGCGATTGAAATTGTTTTATCAAAACTGAAATACAATTCCACGTCAGAGTTGTGCGAGAGTGTCTAAATGAAACCAAAGTCGTACCACAACCATGTTCTATGCGATAATCGTAATAAAAATCTTTCTCTCTAAATCGGCTCTTGCACAAAATCTTCTTCATCTGGAATGCTTATTTTAAATATTTATGAGTTCAGTATCAATAATGAACCAAGACCTCCTTTATCCTACATAGCGAGTATACGAGGTGTCTTAGACTCTGTTTGATAAAGGAACTCGAATTTTCAAATACGTTTGAATGAATGAAATCGCCCCGACTATTGATAACGACGATTTAAATCGACCGGGCTTGAGATGAGCCGTAGATTCGCTGCATTTAAAATAGCGTCAGTTCTCCACTGTAACTATTTCTCAGGTGAACATCTACAAAGCGCCCGTCAATGGAATTGAATTATGAAAAGAAGGGGAATAATCTCAGGTAAGACACCCTAATACGATTTATTCTTTATAGCTAAGTGTAGCAGCATACTGCCTAATCTATTTTCAGTGTTTGAGAGACAACCGGATAATTATAAGAGCGAAGGCATTATACTATTTTTATTTGACCTCTCGCTGACCAATCGCAACTGTTTTCCAAAAATAACAATCATGACTTGCAGTACAGACTAGGAGGCAAACTTAAAGTAAGTCCGGACAACCTAATAAGCCTGTATTTCTCAAAAATTAAAACTAAAAGTTAAAGCACAGCCATGATATACAATCGGTAGCCATTTTTGGATTCCCCATGCGACCCTTACTTGGAAAGGTCATTTTCAATAAATGTCGTGGCTAATATAACGATTATGAAGCGAAAATGCCCTATTTTAAATTGTATTTCTCATTTTTCTTTTCTCTGTGTGTGTGTGTTTACAGTTCCACAGATGTGAGAAAACAGGATGCAAACTTCTCTGATATTTTTTGCTTCATTTATGTTGTTAACTGGTCTTGAAGCAGGTGGGTGACTGGTACAGTTTGAACGCCGCTATTTCAAAGCAACCTTGGATTTTGCATTTATCTGCTGCCTCTCCGAAAATTTTAGACAGATATATACTTTTATGCTTATTAACAGGATCGATCTTGCCTCACACCTTTCCATAACAAGGCCTTAACATTGAACTTGCAAACGCTCGCCCACTAAGTCAGGTTTAATTTACAGGTCATCGAGTTAGTTTGTTCGAGCAAGTAGCACTTTTAGAAGCAATTATATTTTTGTTTTGCGCAATTCCACTTTGTGGTTTTCGTTCTTTTCATCGCTGTAATTGACATTACATCCAGGAATATCTGTCAGTCTGATAAAATATTACTTAATTTCGGTCAGGGCTTTACAATGATCGAGGATTAAATATGGCGTGCGTTCATTGGCTAGTTATTTCCTTGATATGATATAATATCCGTATTACATATATTTATGTATCCACACTGAGCGCAGTGTATCAGTCCCATTACAACCAAACTACAGGCTATTTGGATGAAGATTAGTTCTCAGTAAGATGATTTAGATCCCAACTAGACGAGTTTCCTCTTGGAATGAAACAGCCGATTCATTTACTGTACTGTAACCTTAACTTAACCGCAAAGCAGACGTTAAGACGTTTGCCCAGAGGCGTATACGACCGTTTTAACCTGCTTCTGTTTTATTTACTTTTTATTGCTCTTTGAAAATGAAAAAACAAAGCATTACCTGTCTTATGCCATGATATATATGCAGGTTAGTATTTTGAAGAGAAAAAATGTCAGATATGGAACCAAACATCTATTGTTTAATATGATTTCCTCTATCCCAGTGGAAACACGCAAAGATAGATGTAGACACAATTTCAAAAAGAAAAGATTTAACTTCCGTCTTACACTAGTTACATCACTTGCTTTCGTACTTACAATGTACAATACTTTTCAATTGTAAAACTTTAAAATCGATTAAGATGGAACAATAATTATAGGAAATTTTTTACCTCATCACTTTTCATTGTTTCGTTATGCGTTCTTTTTGAGCGTCGCTATACTTGCATGAAGCATAAATCTACTAGTGTTGTATCACGAATGACATTCTCTTATTGGCTACGCTACTCACTATCAATTCTGTTGTAGATAGTGAGTAGCCTTGTAGTGTGCATGCGGTTGTTAACAGAATGGCGACCGCTTCTTTGCTATTTCGGAGTGCCTGTGAAGTGGATTACATGTAGGACAAAGTTTTGAACGACTAGTAGATCTAAACTAAAACAATTAGATTAGGAGCTCTCGATATATATATGTTGATTGGGGCTGCGCCCTCGTCAGCCATCAAGCGATAGAAATCTCGAGCTCATAATCTAATTGTTAAATTATATTAGACAGAATAAGCGGAGCAAGGTAATCAATTGTGTGAATTTCTTTTGGTGAGTAAATAGGATCCAGAACTCAATACGAGGTTTACGTGTACACTGGTAACAAGTTTGGTGCAGGTACAGATGCTCGAGTGTTCATCACCTTGTTTGGAGAAAAAGGACGGTCAAAAGAAATTGAACTCGAGAGCAAAGGACGAAATGACTTTGAAAAAGGACAGTAAGTTAGCTCAATGTTTCTGACCCCTAATATGCCTGCCTTAGGGTGTGTAAACATTGATGTATGCTTATTATATACCTTATGATATCAAACAACAAACCATGAAATAAAAGGGGTGCACTACATTATTAACAAGCCCTTTATTACGACGTTTTCTAAGCACTTTCGAAAGTAGCTGTGTTTGAAAAGATGATTTTTCTGTCAAAATGGGAAAAAGAAACCGACTTCCCCAGCTAGGAGTCGAACCTAAGACCTTCTGGTTCACTAGTCCAGATGCTCTAACAGGACTCTGCAGGATGTTTGATTAAACTAGGATCATCTGACAAACTAGAATTCAGCGTATTTAAAAAACACTTCCCGGAAACGCGTTCTTGCCACCAGTTGAATAATTCAATCAGTTGTCTTACATTCCCGCCTCCTTTATTCGCCTATATGTCGTCCCCCTTGTCGCAAGGCGACAATTGTCCTTACTGGTAGTCCACCAATTGACCAATCGGAGCGATTTTCTATGAGTATTGTAAAACTAAAACAAAAGTTCGTAATCACTTTGGCCAATCACAAAGAACTCGGGGAATCCAGTAAATCAATCATGACTCAAAGCAAATACGTCTAGCTGGCGTAAAGTGAGGGATTTGATGACAAATCTTCGACTCTCAAGTGAACTCCACTCTATCAATAAACTAATCAATCAATCCTTATTTGTTTTGAGGGTGGCAGTTTTTGGAAAATAATCTGTTAATTAATTTGATTAAGTTGATTATAATTAAGAAGTTTGTGGGTTCAGGGATAAATCACTACATCGCTAATCTTTCACCTTTATTTACAGGAAAGATAAGTTTGTCATTGACAGCAAAACCTTAGGAAAACTGAACGCCATCAATATTCGACACGATAACAGCTGGTTTGGGTCTGGATGGTATTTAGACAAGGTATTTAAAAGATAATTTGAAAGCAAATGAGCATATAGAGCAGAGTTACATGAGTTTTTTTATTGGTTGAAGTAAGAATAAAAGTGCGATATCACACACAGAACAGGAAAAAAAAAAACGAGATTTGGTTCGCACGCATTGCATGTCGGCATACAAATCTAGGTATATGTTGCGATAGCCATTAGAAGAAGGGTTCTGTTTCAAAACACAAGAGTAAGAAAACTATAAGGTGAGGTATATTTTTACAACTGGTATACTTAAGACTCTGACATTTTGCATGGAGGGACAATTCAAGAGTATCATGAAAGATATACTAGAATTCACGATATTTTCAGTGGAGACATCGAATAACTAAGATAACATTTACACTAAACAATACTTATGCAAGCAATAAATAACAAAAGTAAACGTAGATTTAGTAGCTCCCTCTTCCTGTTCCCTATACAATTTGCGTTTCTTTGCCCGCAGGTGAAGATAAAAGCTAAAGATGGTTGCGTGTACACGTTTCCAAGTCATCAATGGCTGGCGTCTAATGTTGGAGACGGAAAAACATCTAGAGAACTTGTTGGCAAGAGTCATTGCCCAAACATTGATGCTCCTCCGGAAGGTAAGAGTAGCTTCAGCCATGAACAAGTCATTTTGAATGAAAACGGATTAGTTTTTAGAGTTGCTGCGTTAAATATGTGCAGTCAGTTTAAGAGAGGATGCCCCAAAACAACTTTAGCACTTCAGTTAATAGGTAGAAAGCCCACAAAGATTCAATAAAAAATTTTGCCGATTTATCGACCTTCAAGTTTATCTATCTTATGTTTGAAACTTTTCTCAGACTGTCAGGAATCCCTTGGTGTGAGTAACGGACTGATAAAAGATTCTCAATTCACGGCGTCTTCATCATATGATGAACACCATCAGCCTTACCACGCCCGCCTGAATAAAACCGTCAAGGGCTCCCGAGGGGGTTGGTGCTCAGCTTTTGCAGATGAAACAGAATTTCTAGAAGTAAACTTGGGAAACAGAAGGAGTATTTCAGGTGAAAAAAATATTTTGTATGTTTGCTTTTGTCACTATTGTTTTGGACTAATTGCACTAACCACGATAGTTAAGTTAATTCCTCGACATTTTCTTCTCCATCACTTCTTTTCAGTGCATCTCCGGTTCTGGCAAACAATGTAACTTTTAAAGATTTTTTGGTATCGTTAGGGTATTGATTTCAATGTAACGTTAAAAGCAACAGTTTACGAATCATTGCAGTTGGATGGGTTACAAAACGATCATAGAATCCAGTAACCTTACATTGCGAAATATAGACATCGATCTTCATTCAGTTATGATAGTCTCTACAAGGTTATCAACAAAGAGATTTGCTTCAGTCTCATCTAATTCGTGAGAATATCTTGATACTTCCATCATCCGCATGTCTTTATTAACAGGTATTTCGACTCAAGGTCAGTCCATGTTTGACAACTGGGTGACCAAATACGCCATGTCATACAGTTCAAATGGCAAGCATTGGTTCATGGTAACAGACAGACGGAAAGATAATGGCAGTCCGAGGGTAAGCGCAGCAGTAAATTACGCTGACTAAAAGAATCTCTCTCTCTCAACTTGGGATGATTACTCTTCTAAATCTAAACCCGTTGCTATGAAGAGTCTGTAAATGACAGAGATTCGCCCAAATGTGAATAAAAGCATCGTCGTTTGTCTTTTTACATATTTATACCTCACTGCATTTAAATATCCAACGTTTTATTTACATTCTCTTGGAGAATAGAGTGCTGTGTTTCGGTATAACCTAAAAAGCACGTTAAAACGGTATTCAGTTAATATTGAATCAAATGCTCAGAACTTTCCAATCCGTTTTGTAGAATTTTACAGGTAACAAGGACCGTGACACGGTAGTTACCCACTGGTTTCCAAGAATAAAAGCTCAGTATATTCGTATTCTTCCCCTGGCATGGAGTGGACTGACTAACTGTATGAGGGTTGAACTCTTCGGCTGCAAAAACGGTAAACATATATAGCTTTAGAATGCAGCCACTTTTTCAATTTCGTGCGTGTGCAGGCCTGCCTATATACCAGAGGAATTGAGTCATTAGACTTTGTTCTGCCAGAGCACTTACCAGCCTTAGGAAGCTGTTTGCTGACACGCAAGCAGGATGGCTCAAAAAATAAAAAGCTTTGTTTATTGACCACCGATATAGTTCATTAATTTTTCCAATGTTTCATTACTCAGGCGATTTCAATTGGCTGAAATCGAACATTAGAGTCATTTGTACATAGATTGATGATCATTTTAAAGTATTAGCACATGACCTGAAAGACTCTTTCTTCTTCCATTTTTGCTGATAAACAGTAACCGATGATTCATCATCAGACGAGGATACTGGAACTAAGGAGAAAGGCACGAAAAAGGGAAATAAAAACAGCAAATCACAGGGTAAAAGTGACGATAGCGACAGCACCAAAATCAAAGGTAANATTTTTCTTTTCTCTGTGTGTGTGTGTTTACAGTTCCACAGATGTGAGAAAACAGGATGCAAACTTCTCTGATATTTTTTGCTTCATTTATGTTGTTAACTGGTCTTGAAGCAGGTGGGTGACTGGTACAGTTTGAACGCCGCTATTTCAAAGCAACCTTGGATTTTGCATTTATCTGCTGCCTCTCCGAAAATTTTAGACAGATATATACTTTTATGCTTATTAACAGGATCGATCTTGCCTCACACCTTTCCATAACAAGGCCTTAACATTGAACTTGCAAACGCTCGCCCACTAAGTCAGGTTTAATTTACAGGTCATCGAGTTAGTTTGTTCGAGCAAGTAGCACTTTTAGAAGCAATTATATTTTTGTTTTGCGCAATTCCACTTTGTGGTTTTCGTTCTTTTCATCGCTGTAATTGACATTACATCCAGGAATATCTGTCAGTCTGATAAAATATTACTTAATTTCGGTCAGGGCTTTACAATGATCGAGGATTAAATATGGCGTGCGTTCATTGGCTAGTTATTTCCTTGATATGATATAATATCCGTATTACATATATTTATGTATCCACACTGAGCGCAGTGTATCAGTCCCATTACAACCAAACTACAGGCTATTTGGATGAAGATTAGTTCTCAGTAAGATGATTTAGATCCCAACTAGACGAGTTTCCTCTTGGAATGAAACAGCCGATTCATTTACTGTACTGTAACCTTAACTTAACCGCAAAGCAGACGTTAAGACGTTTGCCCAGAGGCGTATACGACCGTTTTAACCTGCTTCTGTTTTATTTACTTTTTATTGCTCTTTGAAAATGAAAAAACAAAGCATTACCTGTCTTATGCCATGATATATATGCAGGTTAGTATTTTGAAGAGAAAAAATGTCAGATATGGAACCAAACATCTATTGTTTAATATGATTTCCTCTATCCCAGTGGAAACACGCAAAGATAGATGTAGACACAATTTCAAAAAGAAAAGATTTAACTTCCGTCTTACACTAGTTACATCACTTGCTTTCGTACTTACAATGTACAATACTTTTCAATTGTAAAACTTTAAAATCGATTAAGATGGAACAATAATTATAGGAAATTTTTTACCTCATCACTTTTCATTGTTTCGTTATGCGTTCTTTTTGAGCGTCGCTATACTTGCATGAAGCATAAATCTACTAGTGTTGTATCACGAATGACATTCTCTTATTGGCTACGCTACTCACTATCAATTCTGTTGTAGATAGTGAGTAGCCTTGTAGTGTGCATGCGGTTGTTAACAGAATGGCGACCGCTTCTTTGCTATTTCGGAGTGCCTGTGAAGTGGATTACATGTAGGACAAAGTTTTGAACGACTAGTAGATCTAAACTAAAACAATTAGATTAGGAGCTCTCGATATATATATGTTGATTGGGGCTGCGCCCTCGTCAGCCATCAAGCGATAGAAATCTCGAGCTCATAATCTAATTGTTAAATTATATTAGACAGAATAAGCGGAGCAAGGTAATCAATTGTGTGAATTTCTTTTGGTGAGTAAATAGGATCCAGAACTCAATACGAGGTTTACGTGTACACTGGTAACAAGTTTGGTGCAGGTACAGATGCTCGAGTGTTCATCACCTTGTTTGGAGAAAAAGGACGGTCAAAAGAAATTGAACTCGAGAGCAAAGGACGAAATGACTTTGAAAAAGGACAGTAAGTTAGCTCAATGTTTCTGACCCCTAATATGCCTGCCTTAGGGTGTGTAAACATTGATGTATGCTTATTATATACCTTATGATATCAAACAACAAACCATGAAATAAAAGGGGTGCACTACATTATTAACAAGCCCTTTATTACGACGTTTTCTAAGCACTTTCGAAAGTAGCTGTGTTTGAAAAGATGATTTTTCTGTCAAAATGGGAAAAAGAAACCGACTTCCCCAGCTAGGAGTCGAACCTAAGACCTTCTGGTTCACTAGTCCAGATGCTCTAACAGGACTCTGCAGGATGTTTGATTAAACTAGGATCATCTGACAAACTAGAATTCAGCGTATTTAAAAAACACTTCCCGGAAACGCGTTCTTGCCACCAGTTGAATAATTCAATCAGTTGTCTTACATTCCCGCCTCCTTTATTCGCCTATATGTCGTCCCCCTTGTCGCAAGGCGACAATTGTCCTTACTGGTAGTCCACCAATTGACCAATCGGAGCGATTTTCTATGAGTATTGTAAAACTAAAACAAAAGTTCGTAATCACTTTGGCCAATCACAAAGAACTCGGGGAATCCAGTAAATCAATCATGACTCAAAGCAAATACGTCTAGCTGGCGTAAAGTGAGGGATTTGATGACAAATCTTCGACTCTCAAGTGAACTCCACTCTATCAATAAACTAATCAATCAATCCTTATTTGTTTTGAGGGTGGCAGTTTTTGGAAAATAATCTGTTAATTAATTTGATTAAGTTGATTATAATTAAGAAGTTTGTGGGTTCAGGGATAAATCACTACATCGCTAATCTTTCACCTTTATTTACAGGAAAGATAAGTTTGTCATTGACAGCAAAACCTTAGGAAAACTGAACGCCATCAATATTCGACACGATAACAGCTGGTTTGGGTCTGGATGGTATTTAGACAAGGTATTTAAAAGATAATTTGAAAGCAAATGAGCATATAGAGCAGAGTTACATGAGTTTTTTTATTGGTTGAAGTAAGAATAAAAGTGCGATATCACACACAGAACAGGAAAAAAAAAAACGAGATTTGGTTCGCACGCATTGCATGTCGGCATACAAATCTAGGTATATGTTGCGATAGCCATTAGAAGAAGGGTTCTGTTTCAAAACACAAGAGTAAGAAAACTATAAGGTGAGGTATATTTTTACAACTGGTATACTTAAGACTCTGACATTTTGCATGGAGGGACAATTCAAGAGTATCATGAAAGATATACTAGAATTCACGATATTTTCAGTGGAGACATCGAATAACTAAGATAACATTTACACTAAACAATACTTATGCAAGCAATAAATAACAAAAGTAAACGTAGATTTAGTAGCTCCCTCTTCCTGTTCCCTATACAATTTGCGTTTCTTTGCCCGCAGGTGAAGATAAAAGCTAAAGATGGTTGCGTGTACACGTTTCCAAGTCATCAATGGCTGGCGTCTAATGTTGGAGACGGAAAAACATCTAGAGAACTTGTTGGCAAGAGTCATTGCCCAAACATTGATGCTCCTCCGGAAGGTAAGAGTAGCTTCAGCCATGAACAAGTCATTTTGAATGAAAACGGATAAGTTTTTAGAGTTGCCGCGTTAAATATGTGCAGTCAGTTTAAGAGAGGATGCCCAAAACAACTTTAGCACTTCAGTTAATAGGTAGAAAGCCCACAAAGATTCAATAAAAAATTATGCCGATTTATCGACCTTCAAGTTTATCTATCTTATGTTTGAAACTTTTCTCAGACTGTCAGGAATCCCTTGGTGTGAGTAACGGACTGATAAAAGATTCTCAATTCACGGCGTCTTCATCATATGATGAACACCATCAGCCTTACCACGCCCGCCTGAATAAAACCGTCAAGGGCTCCCGAGGGGGTTGGTGCTCAGCTTTTGCAGATGAAACAGAATTTCTAGAAGTAAACTTGGGAAACAGAAGGAGTATTTCAGGTGAAAAAAATATTTTGTATGTTTGCTTTTGTCACTATTGTTTTGGACTAATTGCACTAACCACGATAGTTAAGTTAATTCCTCGACATTTTCTTCTCCATCACTTCTTTTCAGTGCATCTCCGGTTCTGGCAAACAATGTAACTTTTAAAGATTTTTTGGTATCGTTAGGGTATTGATTTCAATGTAACGTTAAAAGCAACAGTTTACGAATCATTGCAGTTGGATGGGTTACAAAACGATCATAGAATCCAGTAACCTTACATTGCGAAATATAGACATCGATCTTCATTCAGTTATGATAGTCTCTACAAGGTTATCAACAAAGAGATTTGCTTCAGTCTCATCTAATTCGTGAGAATATCTTGATACTTCCATCATCCGCATGTCTTTATTAACAGGTATTTCGACTCAAGGTCAGTCCATGTTTGACAACTGGGTGACCAAATACGCCATGTCATACAGTTCAAATGGCAAGCATTGGTTCATGGTAACAGACAGACGGAAAGATAATGGCAGTCCGAGGGTAAGCGCAGCAGTAAATTACGCTGACTAAAAGAATCTCTCTCTCTCAACTTGGGATGATTACTCTTCTAAATCTAAACCCGTTGCTATGAAGAGTCTGTAAATGACAGAGATTCGCCCAAATGTGAATAAAAGCATCGTCGTTTGTCTTTTTACATATTTATACCTCACTGCATTTAAATATCCAACGTTTTATTTACATTCTCTTGGAGAATAGAGTGCTGTGTTTCGGTATAACCTAAAAAGCACGTTAAAACGGTATTCAGTTAATATTGAATCAAATGCTCAGAACTTTCCAATCCGTTTTGTAGAATTTTACAGGTAACAAGGACCGTGACACGGTAGTTACCCACTGGTTTCCAAGAATAAAAGCTCAGTATATTCGTATTCTTCCCCTGGCATGGAGTGGACTGACTAACTGTATGAGGGTTGAACTCTTCGGCTGCAAAAACGGTAAACATATATAGCTTTAGAATGCAGCCACTTTTTCAATTTCGTGCGTGTGCAGGCCTGCCTATATACCAGAGGAATTGAGTCATTAGACTTTGTTCTGCCAGAGCACTTACCAGCCTTAGGAAGCTGTTTGCTGACACGCAAGCAGGATGGCTCAAAAAATAAAAAGCTTTGTTTATTGACCACCGATATAGTTCATTAATTTTTCCAATGTTTCATTACTCAGGCGATTTCAATTGGCTGAAATCGAACATTAGAGTCATTTGTACATAGATTGATGATCATTTTAAAGTATTAGCACATGACCTGAAAGACTCTTTCTTCTTCCATTTTTGCTGATAAACAGTAACCGATGATTCATCATCAGACGAGGATACTGGAACTAAGGAGAAAGGCACGAAAAAGGGAAATAAAAACAGCAAATCACAGGGTAAAAGTGACGATAGCGACAGCACCAAAATCAAAGGTAATCGCTTTTTTCTTGTTTTTCTTCGTCTAGAAGCCAGACATACAGAAAGCTTGTTAAGACATCCAGTTATGCGTGCAGTCTCAAAAATGCTGTGTTTTAGTCACTGTATTCTTATACTTCTCAATCAAACCTCTCCCCAAATGCTTTAATCCTGTGTCATCTTCTGACAGTAATTTTGTTTGCTTTCCCAGGAAAACTAAGTGAGGAGGACCTTAATATTATGTCCAGTGAGTATCCAAGTAATAACCAGGTTAACGCCAATTCTAAACTGGTTAAGACATAAGCTCTTTCGAAGGAATAAGAAATAATTACTGACTTAATTTGGCAAACAAGAGCAATTGTCTCGCCAGTATGCGTCGTGAAATACGTTTTTTTATTTGGATGCAACACGTCTCTCGTAAAACCTTGCGCAAAAGATATTGTTAAAAAAGGTCAGTCAGGGTTCTATTACTACCATTTTTAACTTTTTGAAAAAGTTAGGTGAAGAATTTATCTAAAGGCTGTTGTCTTAGTATCTTGGTGAAATTTGTAGGTAGACGTAGAAACAAATTAGTCAGTAAATCCCATTGCCTGTTTCTCTTGCTATACATTTTCTCTTTTATTCATTCTTTCAGCAATTGAAAAAGCAGTTGTGTACCTCCGTTTTGAGCATATCTTCAAGGATAATATTATCGTGGACGAATCACAACAACACAACGATGCCAGAATTGTGAACTTTGCACGGACGGCCCTGTTCAGTGAAAGATGTGGCAATGGAGTAGATCTCAATGGAGGAGACATCTTGTTGAATGGACCTTCATTTAGGAACAAACCACGTATCGCCGTGACGATTGCGGCATGGATAAAACTATTCTCGGTAGAAGGACCAAACTCACTGTTTGATACAATCGGTGGAATTAACTCCACTCATGACAATGGTCAGTATCATTTGGAAATTGACAGCGGGTCGGTCAGATGGTTTCACCGAAACGAACATGGACAGATAATTTTCAACGTGACATCAGAAGTGATCGTTCCTTCGCACGTGTGGACACACGTCGCCTGCACTTACGACTCCAAATTAGGGCAAGCTGATATTTATGTGAATGCGAAGTTTATTCTGAGGGGTGATGGCTCGGGGGAGTTGTCACAAGACTGGCAAGAGAAAGCGGGGATCGGTGAGCATAAAGGAGAGAGATTGTTGGACGGACAAATTGATGAATTTTATATATCAAATGAGGCCTTGACTCAAGAAGAAATTAAGAAATTGATGCAGAGATGTGAATTTGAGAAAGGTATGTACGATTATTTATTTGAAGAGAAAATAAATGTGTTGTAAGACTTGTGCGTTGTCATTGTATTTATTGACGTCTGCATTGTGAACTGTGCAGTCCTTATCCTAAACACTTTTCGAACGTTACAATCTTCACCTCTAATCCCGTTCAGCCGTGCAAAAAGTGGACTGAGGCAGGAGAGGTAACGGATGCTTTTGAACAATTCAAGTCTGGTTAAATTGAAAGCGAAATGCAAGAAATTACGAGAAACCAGTGTAAAAAAAAAATTAAATGTCGTAGTTACAAAGCACACTTATATTACCGTAAGCGTAAAATGGAGAGGAGTATTTGAACAAAACGGAAAAGTGCACTATAGCCTTGTAGCTAAATTGGTCACTACAGCTCCTCCGGCAGCACACATGTGTTATAGCTGAAAGTGGACTACATTGTATAGGTATGATGTCAACTTTGAGGCTTCTGTATTATTTGCTATTTTAGTCTTGACACTCAAATAAAGCTTCTCATTCGTTCATTCATTCATTCATTCATTCATCCACGTACGTTTTGGCAGCCCTTTAGTAAATGAAGCGAAAATTAAGTGGATTGTGTGAAAAAGGAAGTTCTTTTTTCAAGTTCCTTACCCCGTATTAACCCTCAGATTTTATTAGCATTTTATTATAGTTGACAAGCGCTTTTAACAGGAGCCTCAGGCTCGGGCGACTTTGCAAGTACTTCCCATGATCATGCGGTTCAAAAGGTCAACGCTGCCTCTTTTTTGTAGAGTGCTTCTCACCACTAGGAATGGAAGACATGAAAATCAAAGATGGACAAGTCACAGCCTCTTCAACTTACCATCTCCATAAACCTTTCTACGGCCGCCTGAATCTTGTGTCATTCTACGACGATCCCCAGAGGACGGCATGGTGCGCCGACGAGGATGATAAGGAGCCTTACCTCACGGTGGATCTTAGGGAAGAGAAGACCTTGTCGGGAGTAGCTCTACAGGGTGCCTCTTTGGAGGACAACTACGTCACCAGCTTCAAACTCTGCTACAGTCAGAATGGAAGGACTTTTCAATGTGTAACTGAGGATTTGACAGGAGAGGTAAGAAGAAGCTCCTTTATCTTCTTATTATGCTGTGAATTTGAATAAAAAATACTTGAAGGATGTGTCAGTGTTTAAGTTTCAATTGTATACTAAGAATCAGTTTTGACTTCCTTTTTCTCTCTTTTTATGATCTTCCCAATGGTTCAAAAAAGCATTTTGCATCTTCCCTAATACCGTATGGTCGTCGTCGTCTTCCATGTGACGAAACGGAAATGAGTTGTAATGTAAAGACGTTGAAGATGGCCGTGAAAACCTTCTAAAGTTAATATAGTGAAACAGTATTAGCGCGCGCACTAGTGCTATCTAATTCCTGTTGAGCCATCATGAACGAAATCTCTACGTACGCTCGGCTGTGTATATATAAGATGACGTGTGCAGTTTCAATTTGAAGGCTGAAAAGCGAGAGTTGCTCTCGGCTATCGCCTCGAGCAACTCTTACGTTTCTTTCGTGTTCTCCAAACTTCCTGCGTCCATCCATAACTCGATATACGCACACTAAGCATGAACCAATTCTTGATTGACACATGACCATTTACAATTCAGTCGCTACAGGGGAGTGATGACAAAGATTCCGTCAAGATTCACTGGCTACAAAGATTTTTTGACGGTCGTTATATTCGTTTATATCCACTATCCTGGTACGGAGATCACATATGCATGAGAGTTGAATTATATGGCTGCATTCCAGGTAAGATCGTTAAATCAGCACATGATTCATTTTTGGCGTCATTTTTATGACAACTGACACAGTGTTCTTTCATTCTTAAACTTCTATCGACAAAAGTACCTTATTACATGAAATTTTGGCGACACTTTAATTTAGCGATATTAGCGATTTTTCAAAAAATCGCNAACAAGAAGGAAAGTGGACCATGAAGAACGCTGCCACAATGTGACACTAAAAAATTTCACATCGGACTCTGACATGTTTTAATTTCAATTGTAGGGACAGCTTGCTTTGCCGCCAACAAAGGGAGATTTGACAATACCGATCCCCACTACTGTTCTGTTGAGCACTGTTAAAGGTCTTACTTACATGTAAGTTGATTTATTGCAAATTAGAGACAAATTTCATTGCCAAGAGTCAAATATTCATGGGTTGTCTGCTTGCAAGATGGTGTTACACTAAAGAAAAATCCAATTTACATTTTCAAAATTGTTCGCGTCCGCTTACGGGAATGTGTAAATTACAGAGTTTGACTAGGAGGTAAAACCTGGAATTGATAAAAAGTGTCTGAAAGTAAGCTGACAGCTTACGAGAGTGGCCGTTTGTGGAGCTCTAGTTGACTGTACAATATTAGTCTTAAAATTAAGTGGGGCTATATTTCCGCCTAGAAGCTCGAAACCGAGCAATCAAACATTTTTCCTCTGCCCATTTCACTGCAAACCAAGGCCATCACAAGTTAGTTTAGAGTCCATATAATTTAACATAGATTGAATTAAATAATAGAAAGAAAACCAAATAATGCTCACCTGGAAAAAAGTGTGACCAAGCCACTCAAAGTATTAATTGTTCATAATAAAAGCAGTGTGATTTTTTTTTTCTTTTTTAATGAATTAATTTATTGTTGCCACTGGTTATACATAATCAAAATAAAGCAAAAAACCTACCATTATACCCTTCAAGAACAGAATTCACCAACTGTCTAAACGTCTCATCGTAGAGATCAATCTGTTTTGAACTAAATAAATATCACAAACACAGCAACATTAAAATGCAGATGTCAGCTGGTAAATTATGGCAGTTTTTAGCAAACTTTTATAATAACCTATTCAATGGACAATTTCAGCTAAACCATTCATGTATACACATAATCAAGACAAAATCATAAAATAAATAAATAAATATACATGTACATTTATATAGCGCCATTTTCCACTAATTGTCCATGGTGCTTTACAATACCTTATTACATGAAATTTTGGCGACACTTTAATTTAGCGATATTAGCGATTTTTCAAAAAATCGCTAAATTAAAATGCACCAAAATTAAGTGTCACTAAATTTAAATCATCGCTAAATTAAAGTGAGTATAATATGAAATTCCGCCATCTGGTCCGTTTCACACGATCACGCTATTTTACGGTCGATTATGACGTGTATCGGATGTCTACGTGTATACATTTCAGTCATCTGGTCATTTCAACTTCACAACTGAAATGGACTCTTCGAATTCGCTGGTATTGAATTTCGCCTTCCCAT